CTTCCCTCCCCACCACCCACCCACCCATAGGAAAAGAAGTGGGTGGTTGGCGGGGGCTCTGGTGTGGTCTGCTCCTTCTTTCCTATCAAACATCTACCGTACTTATCTCTCCTCCTTCCTTTTCATGTTTGTTGCTCTCTTGTAACACCTCTAATCTTCGGCACTTATATGACCTTATTGTGCTGCAAGTGCCGTAAAACTCTTACTAAAACTAAAATAAGAAAAGAAAAAAAATGGGCTTCAAAGATTAAAGAAATCAATGATAAAAAAGTTCTTTTTTTATTTACCGATACCAAAGAACTTGGTAATAGGTTCTCACCTTGCCATAAGCCAAAGAAAAAAAAAAGAAAGAAAAACACCCCAACAGACCAAGCTGTCTGTTGGTCGATGTAAGAATTTAGCTGAGTGGCTTCGTGACCTCTAACCTTTAGCCTTGTATGGCTCTATCTGAGAGAGTTGACCTATTTCCTTGTTCTCCCTACAGACAGGGAGAGTTGACCTATAACCTTTAGCCTTGTTCCTCCTACAGACAGTGGGAGTTGACCTTTAACCTTTAGCCTTGTTCCCTCTACAGACAGTGTGAGTTGACCTATAACCTTTAGCCTTGTTGCCCACTACAGACAGTGAGAGTTGACCTGTAACCTCAATCCTTGTTCACCCTACAGAGAGAGTTGACCTATAATCTTTAGCCTTGTTCCCCCCTACAGACATTGAGAGTTGACCTATAACCTTTAAGCTTGTTCCCCCTTACAGACATTGAGAGTTGACCTATAACCTTTAGCCTTGTTCCCCCCTACAGACAGTTGCAGCATGCCTGGAGGAACTGGCAGACAAGGTAGTATCTTCTCCCCGCCCCCTCCCCCTCTCTCTCTCCATCTCTTTCTTACTCCTTCACTCACTCACTTATTCACTCACTTACTTTCTGACTCATTCAGTTTTTGGTCAACATAGCCTTCTCATTATCAACTCCCCCCCCCCTTTCATATCCCCTGTGGTTTTTACTTCTCCCCATTAGATGGACAGAGACAAATTTCCCTTTTACTTTCTGTGTGATCAATAAGTTTGTAGGTATTAGACCCGTAGATTATATGATAATGTTTTCCGGCAAGTTATTTCCCTTCCCGGAGCTACGTGTGCACTATTCCAGTTTGTAGAATTGTCCAGTAGCTTAAGTCTTTGATGATCAATTCCTTCAGTTGGACGTGCTGCTTAGATTGCAAGATCTGAACTAAGTGGAACATTTTTTTTGTTAAAGCGATCCAAGCCTTTCTGTATTTTATTATACATACATAATGTGCTTTCATAACGGTGGACAGAAAAAATCTGGTGTCTGTCTTATACATTGTTGGGTCTCTGGTGTGTTTTTTGAAGCGAGAGTTGAGTAAAGGTCTGAAGGGTTCACGTGTCTATTTGTATTAGTATAGGGTTTTCTCGTGTCTGTTTACATCACATGTATACACCCGGTGGTGGGGCTGTTGGCACTGTTGTGGCGTGGCTTATGTTTACACTTACGTTCCTGAGGCTGGGTTTTGTTTGTTTGTTTGTTTGTTTGTTTTCTTGTCTGTGTGTATCTGTTTGGCTGGTTGTTTATTTATTTGTCTGTTTGGTTGGTTTTTTGTTGTTGTTGCTGTTTGTTTTGGTAACACAACTCCGCCTACTCTCATCAAATGGTGACAGCCCTCCCCCCCTTTCAAAATCCCCCCTCTCCCACTCTCTTTGTGTGTTTCCTGGATGTGGAGAAATGGCATGCCTCTGTGCTCACGACAATATTATTGTTGTCCTCGTGTACACCACACATTTATTCTTTGTTTCTTTCAAATCCCATAGGTACATGTTTTTTATTTAACCTTTCTGTTCTGTATATTATTCAAAAACTTAATAATCGACAGTTTTTCTTCCCAAGATCACGATGAGTTGCATATTATTATGACCTTCCTTTTCTTGTATTTTTGTGTCTGTGTGTGGGATGTGTCATAGACTCTGTCTAACAAGCACTGACATCAAACTTCTCCTTGCGCTTTCACGAAACTTCCTCTCCACTGTTCTGTCTTGCATGGCATGTCGTTTCCCTTCAGTGAGATGAGGTCAGCTTGCAGGAATGTACCTGGGACGTCGGGGAACGGAAGCTTTGACAAATGTGTCATGACGCGGTGGAATCAGGCTCTCGTCAATTTTTGGGCATGTAGAGTCATTGGTGTCATCTTAAAGCCTGTTCATTTGTTTTGCTTTGAAATTTTTTTTAAAATCTGTTTATCTTGAATATAAGTCGAGATATTTGCAAATGAAGGAGGTGGGGTCTCCTGGTTTCAGAGATAAGATTAGTGTGAAAATGGCCACCAAAGATTAGTTATTTCCATAGCTGGAGAGGCTAAGAAAATGTAAAATTGACATTAAAACTTTTTGTGCCTTTAATCAATTTTTTCCCCAGTAAAATTCAGACAGAAATGCGTTATTATTAGTTATTAAGCAAAAAACCCACCAAAACAACAACAACAAAAATTCGATAAAAATTCCCAAACCTGCGGAAAAATGCCAATGTCTTTACTTTGATTATTTTGACGAGCGCCAGTTTTCACCACGCCGCCTCACATAATTATGCTTCCTGTCTGCACAGACTCACCCACCAATGCAGGAACTCAACAATAAATAATATTGGAACAAAATGAATATTATGTTCTTGAATTTTGTGACCTTTGTTTTTTTGGCTTTTTTTGGGG